CGAATTTAATTAATGCAAAAGAATTATTAGATGCTAAACGATGTGAAGAAAATGGTCGTGTTGATGATTATCTTAAACGTTGTACTGATTCAGGTTTTAGTCGAAAACTTGATCTTTGGGATTTTCTTGGTTTGAAAACATTTTATTACATTTTATTTTTTTTATTAATAATACTTTTTGATAGATCAACCACGTAGTCGTTTGATGAAATATCCAATTTTATTTAAACGTATTCATAAACGAGTAAGATAAATTTCTACTAATATCTCTTTAAGAGAATAACAATCTAATTTTCGTTCATGTATATTATACATAGAAAAGTGTTTAACAAGGGAAGATGTTCAAGTGTGAATGCACCGTATTGAATCGAATATATACTAATTTGTAGACTATGATGAAACTCGGAAAAAAACTCAGAAGAGTTCATCATCATATCTTGTACTTCATGTATTATGACTATTTTATTAGATTTTCGATCTCTGGCAAGACAGATATTAGCAAGTCGAACTCTTGAAACTTGAAAGTTTGAAGACTCATTTAATGAATATGAGAGCCATCTATGAGCGACAATTTTCGTTATTTGGTTCTTTCATATGTACCATATTAGAGGTCGGAAGTCTAATACAAAGGTCATAACTTAAGAAGTATTTAGTATGAATACGAATTCTTCTATTATCGTAGTCACTAAACTGGTATACATAAGGTTTTAAACGGTACGTCACATCTGCACATCTTCCGTCATAAGATTGATTCACGTTTTATAATTAATCGAGAAAAACATACATTTGAAATTTTTCTCGAATAAAGAAAAAAAATGTGAAAAATTAAAGAAACTGTACTTAAATTGAGTGTTTTTTCCTTTATTAATGAATACTCTCAGACATACAGTAACATATTTATTGTTTTCTTTTTTGTTAGACTAAAGATGGACATGAAGATAAACGAATATTACTTGATACGGTAAATAAATTGAATTAAAAGATATTTTAAAAAGAAAAACAATTTATTTATATTTTAAGATCAATATTGTTGAAGAACTTATCAATGATGTTAGTCAAGCAACATCAGCACAACTATGTTCAAATGTTATTGCACGACTTGTTTATACGAATGATGAACAAGTAAAAAAAAGAAATTTTGATGATATTTTTTTTTTAATGTTTTTTTCAAACTAAATCTTTCTATTAGAAACATTCATTAATTGAAAAACAAACACGTATTATGTGTCAAGGTGAATTAAAAAATAATCGTGGCCATGTAAGAATTTTATTTTGATATCTATTTAAGAAATTATTTTCTATTTAAATAGAAATTACATGTATTTTTATTTGATGAAATACTTGTATTTACACGTATAGCAACTCGTAATGGTTTAAAATCTTTTCAATTAACAAATTATCCTATACCTGTTCTATCATTAATTGTTGAAGATATTGAAGATGGTGTTAAAATTCCTGAATTATCATCTGGTAGTTTTTCACGTACATTAGCTGGATCGAAACCTGGTTTGTGTTTTTTTTAATATGAATTAATCAACAACAACAAAAACAAAATTGATTGTTTTCTTTTTTTTTTAATTTTTAGCTCGTAATGTATTTCGTTGTTCTTCATCATCATCTATAGATAATAATAATAGTCGAAATACATCTATGTTATTACAAGCGCGCGATATGTATGATAAACAACAATGGTTAAGTGCATTTCGTTCAATAACAACAATGAATAAACAATAATAAATAGATTAGTCTTCTTTTTTTTTTATGTTTCTTTTTTTTTTTGTGTTTCATGCGTTCAAACAGCAACACTTGTTCTGATATAATATAATTTTTGTTTGTTTGTTCTCCATGTATAGAAATTTTTGTTTTTCCTTTTTCTTTTCTCTATTGCGCTGTTTATCTTTTGCCTATAGATATAATGACATCAATGAACAAAATAATATAGTAGATCTATGTTTTACATCTGCTTTTTTTTTCTTGTTTGTTTTTAAAAAAAAATTACTATGTGGTTCTAAGAACAATATCAGTTGATATAAAACTATGTGGAAAGCCAAAGAAAAATTCAGTTTTTTTTTTCTGTTTTTTATGATGCACGAGAAAGAGAAAGAATATGTGGCTGCATTTATCATACCGCAAGTGTCTATTTGAAATCACGTCTTTTGTCTCTTGCTATGGTTGTCATCTACAAGAATATTAAAAAGAAAAAAAAAAGATAATGTACTTATATATATGTGTGTGTTAAGTGATAGTGATATCAGCAGTTGCAAAAAGCTGTAGGTGAAGATATAAGTATTTCTTGTTTATATTCTATTTAATGTATTAAAATAATTTGTATGATGATTTCAACTTTTTAGATATGTCATCATCTACCTATAAATTAATTTATTTTGCTGGTCGTGGCTTAGCTGAAACATCTCGTATGTTATTTAAGGCTGCTGGGCAAGAATTCCAAGATTATCGTTATCCAATTGTAATAAACGATGGTCAATATATACGACCTGAATGGGATGCAGATAAATCAAAATATATATATGAAAAAATTCCTGTACTTGAAATTGATGGTGGTAAATATGTAATAGCTCAATCGAAAGCAATTGAACGATTTTTGGCACGTCGTTTTAATATGCTAGGTAGTAATGATATTGAAGCTGCAATTATAGGTAAAAAAAACACTCCCTATTTTGTTTACATACATGAATTTCTATATACTAATATATATATATATATGAAAAGATGCGGCTGGTGAACAAATTCTTGATCTGAAACAAGCATATAATAAAGCAAAAACTGCAGGTGCTGATAGTGTTAAAAAATTTTTCGAAGAAGATTTAACAAAAACTTTCGCGGCATTTGAAAAACAAGCAAATAAAAATAAATCTGGCTATTGGATAGGTTCAAGTTTATCATTATTTGATATTCAACTTTATAATTTAATACATTTTTTTGATGATCAACAAAGTGTTCAAAAAGCATTAGAAAATTGTCCAACATTAAAAGCTATTCATGATAAAGTTGAACAAACACCAGCAATTAAAAAATGGCTTGATGAACGTCCTCAAAGCGTATTTTAAGAAGAATTAAATAAAAAAAAGCAGCAATATTATTATATAATTGACTGAAAAGTAGTCTTATAGATTGTATCAGTATTTTTTAAAGCACAATAGAAAAATAAATAGCTAGAGTTCATGCACTATGATTATTTAAAACATGGTTTTCTTTGTCTAATTTAATTTCGTTTTTTTTGAAATCAAGAGAGAATACATAAAGAAAAAATTTGGATGATTATTAAAAAAACTTGTTTGTACTGTTTCTTGTCTATTAAAGAGAAACTCACAAGTAAAATGAATACTATAAATTTAAAATATCATCGCCTGCTAATTTATACTTTTATGAAGATAAAGTGATGCACAATAAATAGAGAAGATGAATTGTATTTATCAGAGGTCCAAACAGGCCACGTTTTTTAGGCCTGCACGGCCTGTCAAGTTTTTCGAGCGAGTACAATAATGATGACAGACTAGAAACCAGAGGTCCAAACAGGCCACTAGGACTATTACTCAACCTGATCCTGACCCGCCTGCCATAGGCATCACCCATGGTTTTCAGACTAGTGCAAGTCAGAGGTCCAAGAAATTTTTGGGCTGTCGGCCTGTCACTTGCACTAGTCTGAAAACCATGGGTGATACCTATGACAGGTGGGTCAAGATCAGGTTGAGTAATAGCCCTAGTGGCCTGTTTGGACCCCTGGTTTCTAGTCTGTCATCATTATTGTACTCGCTTGAAAAACTTGACAGGCCGTGCAGGCCTAAAAAGCGTGACCTGTTTGGACCTCTGGTATTTATAATATCATATTTCAAATGACAGAATAAGAAAAATTTCATTTCTATAAATATTCTTCTATGCTTTCATAAGATTAATAAATCTACCATCATAGGCAACGAAACGTTTTAAATTTAGGGTAAACTCAACAATCTTTACAAAATTTTCATTACAAAGTGAAGAATAGAGAAAAGCAAAGCGAATCTTTTATACTATTTTGATCAAAGGCAGTTAGTGCTTTTTATTTTTACTTCACAACTCGTACTGTATAAAATTGATACGATTCAGAAAAAATTTGCAATTTATATCACAAGAAATACGACAATATTTGATTTTTATTTCATATTGACTCTCAAAGGAAGAGAGTTTTCAATATACTTTACCGAAAAGATAACATAATGATAAAGTCGTAGTTTTCAGATGAGAAACAATAAATTACATTGTGGCTTCGGTCATTTTATTGAAAATGTCTCTGAGTCATCTAAGTTTAGCTACGGAAGCTGAAGAAAATTTTTGGCAACGTTTAGTGTAACTAACTCCAGTTTCCTATACAGTTATTCTTTAGTAATAACTACTTTATATATATATATATTAATTTGATGGGACGAAAAACAAATGTTTGAGCCTTCAATACCTTAATGTAGGGTAGGCTAAAGCCTATCGAAGCCTTGTAGCTCCACCCACTATACCCATCATCGTTGATCTTAATCAAAACAAAAACTATCGAAATTAAAAATACTTAGTATTTAAAACTTATATTGATCAATAAATAATCTTCTAACTGACGAGGAAGAAATCTACAATTATTATCGGCTTGTAACTGGAAGAAAGCAATGCTTTATATCTTGATATTAATATAACATTAGATGAAATATTGAAAACAACATCAAGTAAATTTCAAATCAAACAACTCTCATCGACTGGTTTTATTGTCTTCAAACTTAGGCTGATCTCTAATTAAGGCATAGATATCAATAATTTATTGAAAAGTATTTAGATTTATACAAAAAATGCTTCTTTCATTAAAGATAGATGTCACTAAATAGTTATTATATGATATGTGCTGTTACATATGACTCTTCCGTTTTGTCGAAGCAATTGACCAATAAATTTGTTCTATGTACAGTTAACTTAAGTCTAATTTTGTTCCAATCTGTGTCCTTCGTTTTATAATAAATCAACAACATGACTTCTCGTGAGTTATTATTTGCCAATTTGATTATTGATTTCATTCGTTCATTTATGTAGGTGGTCCTATGCGTCTTTCAAAAAGTTATCCTCATCCTCAACAACAACAACAACAACGACAACAACCATCACCACAACCATCATCTCAATTTTATCAACCTACAGCTCCTAATCGTTTGTATTTTCTTTTATTAGTTATGATTAATTTTATAATTTTTCTTGTATTGTAAAGCTCAATCACAAACACCTACATCTTATGGAGGCGATTTTACAATACCTCAACCACAAGCATCTACATCTTATGGTGGTGATTTTACGATACCACAAGCACAAGCACCTCCATCTTATGCAACTGATTATAACATGCATCAACCACAAGCAATGCCTTCAAACAATACATTTTTTTCACCACAATCACAAGCACCTCCATCTTATTCAACTGATTATAACATGCCTCAACCACAAGCAATGCCTTCAAACAATGCATTTTTTTCACCACAAACTGCTTTCTATGCTCCACCATCTCAACAACAAATGTTTTCTAATCAAGCTATGCCTGGAATGGAATATTTTTCAAGTAATCCACTTTTTAATGTTGGTTTAAATGTTGTTGAACAAGGCATGAAAGATATAACAGGCAAAACTGTTAATATGTTGCCAAATGAAGTAAAGAATTTATTTATTTATTTATTCATTGATTTAAAATAAATTTAGATGAAAAAATCTTTATCATCAATAAAATATTATTTTGCTGTTGATCAAACTTATGTTCTAAAAAAACTTTGTTTACTTTTATTTCCATTTCGACCAAGAGTAAAAGATAACAATATCAATAAATAAAATTTAATAAATTAATTTTATTTTTGCTAGAATTGGTCACTGGCATATAGTGCTGATGAACCTGTACCACCACGTGTTGATTCAAATGCACCGGACTATTATATTCCATGTAAGAATGTATGATCGGAGAGTTTTTAGATAAGATATTTGTTCATTTTTCATCCGTCAATAAGTATTGTCGACAAATGAACAACTATATGTAACTCAAAAAAAAAATTAATCTTGGATGGAAAAGTTTGTTTTATTTACACTATTGCTATTCTAAACTAAAAGTCAGTCATTATTGATATATACATGTTTCTAAATAAACATTTTTTGAAAAATCTATAACTGTTTCAAGTTGAAAGAAATTTTCGAGAAAATGTTTGTAACGTCACTTGAGTAAAAAACAAGAGCTACAGCTTAGTTTAATATTACATTTTGTAGAGAAGTGTCCGCTCTACAAAACGACTGATCCAAACAATTTTTAGCATGTTCAAAAAGAGCTCGTCGAAAATATTTTCTAGCGAGCCAACTGTTGAGTTCAGTAAGTCTAAAATTTTTGGATCTGAATCAGGGACAAAGCTGTCGAGCTCTAATCGAAAGCGAACAAACATCTTATGTAAAAAAATTTCCGATCACCCTTTACTAAGACATTATTTTTATTTTTTTATTTTTAGTAATGAGTGCTATAACATATGTTCTTGTAGCTGGTCTTGTTCTTGGTTTAAAGGACAGGTAAGATAATTTTTTCTGCTGTTATTCTTAAAGCAAAAAAAATGAATTTTTTTTGTTTTTTAATGATCTTAAAAGATTTACACCTGAACAATTGGGTATGCATGCATCGTCTGTTCTTGTATGGAATATAATCGAAATTTGTATTCTATGTTTTACATTTTACATTTTTAATGTTCAATCGAAATTACGTACACTTGATTTAATTGCTTATTGTGGTTATAAATATGTTGGAATGATTGTTGCATTATCATCATATTTAATAACACATTCATTATTTGTTTATCATTGTTCATTACTTTATGTTAGTCTATCATTATCATATTTTCTTGTATGTTTTTCTCTTTTGATTAATGAATTTTTTTCTATTATCTATATATGTATATATAGGTTAAATGTCTTCGTTTACAAATTTTACCCGATACAGGTGGATCTCAACCATATGGTTCCGGTGGAAGTAAACGTCGTATATATTTACTTCTACTTATTGTTATTCTTCAACCATTATTTATCTGGTATTTAACACAACATTTAATTATTTATTAAAAAAGAAAAAGAAAAAGAAAATGAAATGAAATATCATATTTAACTTTGTGTTTGTTTGTTTGTTTGTTTGTCTTTTTATTTCTTTCAACATATATAAGGTGTGAGTTTTAGATAATAAAAAGAAAAATATAGAATGTGGAACAATTTATTAAAACCATTCATAACAACTACGAATTTAATAACATCATCATTTTTTATTCGTCGTTCATTTAATACACTTTGGCATATGCATACAAATACATTATGGATAACAGGTGTACGTCCTCAACCGAAAAGTAAAATGGATGAACAACCAACAATGCGTGGTTTGTATTAATTAAGTTTAATAATCTTTTTGTTTTTACTTTCATTTCTATTCTATTTTAGGTATTGTACTTAAAACATTAATTCGAAAGCCAAGAAAACCAAATTCTGCTAATCGTAAATGTTGTCGTGTTCGTTTAGCTAATGGAGTTGAAGTTATTGCACATATTCCAGGTGAAGGACATAATTTACAAGAACATCATAGTGTTTTAATACGAGGAGGACGAACAAAAGATTTACCCGGTGTACATTATAAAGTAGTTCGTGGTAAATTAGATTGTAATTTACCAGTAAAAAGACAAACAACATTACCGACTAGTGCTACGACTAAATAATACGTAATTTCTGTTTATTTGTTTGTTTGTTCTTTTTATATTAGAAAAAAAAATGATCAGATTACAAAAAAAAAAACAAGAAAATCTTTCTTTTTTTATTTGCTTTGAGTAATAATATGTAAAGATTCAAGAGCTCTTTTATATTTCCGTTGTAAACGATATTGTTCAAATTTTCATTCTACACAATTAATGTCAAAAGTTTATATTAAGAAAAAACTGATTAAATTTTAAAAACTAATTTCATATCGATTGATATTCTAATCATGCTGATTAATCATCAATAAAATAATCAAAGAATGTTTTTAACTTCAGTAAGTATGTCATATATTTGTTGTCGAATCAAATTGATTTCCAATGAATATTAATATTCAAAATAATAAGGATACAATTGAAGAATGAAATGCAATATACAATAGTGTTTATTTTTTTTATTTATTGTTTCTTGTAAAGTTCGAAAACATTTATTATGAATTCATGATTTCTTATTGATAAACTATTGATTCATTCTATAATTTTATCAATGAAACAAGTAAATAAGAGTATCTTATATTTATAAACTTAACCGAATTTCATTCGATTATTTCCATTTTTTTTATTTTTCTATAACAATAATTTCTTTTTTTTTTTTTTAAATACATGAAAAATTCATGTTCTTTAGCCTTCAAGGAGATTTTAAAACATGACTTGTAGAATAAGTCTGATATATATAAATCAAATTTCTTAATTTTCTAATCGTATATTTAGCAGTATGAAGACAAGTATGAATGAATTTTAGAACTCAAAAAAAATATATAATAAAATGCTTTTATTTAAAAAATAATAAAACTTAATTTTATTTATCAATACATTTTTTCGCAGAAAACAAAAAATGTTTATATTTATTAATTAACGCTATTCAAAAATAAGAAACGTAATTAATAAATGAAAAGAGTAAGCTGATATAATCATATTGCATCTAATATAACACATCGTTCTGATTGATGAGTAATATTTATTATTTAAAATAGACTAAATTTGACGTTGATATGTATAAAAATTATTATCAAATTTAAAAATAACCTGATTGAAACAAAAAAAAATTTTTTTTTATTTTTATTTTTCTTATTCAATATTTTACAATCAAACTATTGATAATTTCTGATTCAATAAAATCTACAAATGTCCTTTGATTTTGTCTGTATGCCTTTATCTAGCAATTAAAATAATTGTATGCATTTGTAATTAGATAATAATTGATAAATCATCTGTATTATGTTTCTTTGTTTAAGTTATAAAAAATGTCCATATGTTTGCCTGAAGATAGAACAAAACGGAAATTATTTACTTCATATTGATGACGTTAGTTTTTCTCTTCATTTTTTCTTTGTATCTTACTCATCCGCCTCCACATATTTTAACGGATGAATCAGTTACTTTGTTCATATTATTTTTTTTTCTGTTCTTTCTCTCGTCGGCAAAGATTCAAGTGCGAATGAGTCGACGGAAACGAACGAATCGATGAATAGAAAAAAGAAAGAATCGAATAATAATGCTTCTGTGTGTTTTTTTTCTTGGGACAATAGTGATTCATATATGCACACTATAGATCCAAAACAAAATATTTATCTATATATACTAAGAGAACAGTTTTCGTGTTAATCATAAAATTCCTTTTTCTTTTACTATTCGAGATGAATTTATTCCATCGTAAAAGTAGTGCAGCAAGTTCATCAACAAATCCATCACCATCGATTTTAAGTACAGCTACAGCTGGACCTGAAGCATTTGCATCAAATTCAGCATATGGTCGAGGTTTTTATGAACCAGGTGCTTATACAATTGCATTGAAACGATGTGAAAATGGTCATGATCTTGCTCTACAACTTGCTGAAATGTTTGAAGAACGAGCACAACTTGAATTAGCTTATACAAATCAATTACGTTCTTGGTCACGTAAATGGCATGGTGAATTAATAAAATCACAAGAATATGGAACAAATAAAAAAGTTTGGGATCAAACAGTAACAACAGGTAATTTTTTCTCTTTGTTTTTTATTATTTGTTTATAAAACAAATATTCTAGGTGAACAAATGGCTGATGTTCATGGAGCATTATCATCTTCACTTACAGATTCATTAATACCTAAACTTCGACAATGGCGTAAAGATAATTATGAAAAATCTTTAATACATTATAAAAAAACAAAAGAATTTGAAAAAGATTTTATTGATGCACAAAAATCTTGGACTAAATTATTAGAAAAAATAAATGAATCAAAATCAGCTTATTATGCAGCATGTAAAACAGCTAAATCAGCTGATGATGCTGAACGTAATGCATCAGATGAAAATCGAAAAAAATTAGCTGATAAAGCTGAAGTAGCAAGACGTGAAGTTGGATTTACTAAAACAAAATATGAACAAGCAATAAATGAAGCTCGAGAACAAAGACCACGTTATGAATTAGCTATGAAAGAAGTTTTTGAACGAACACAAACATTTGAAAGAAAACGTTTAGAATTTTTTAAAGAAACATATGATGAATTTTTTAAATTATTAGAAACATTAACACACGACAAGTAAATTTTTGAGAAAAAAAAAAAAATTAAAATTTCAAAATTTTCTTTTTGTTTTAGTGTGATCTTGAACAAGATGATCGATGATTATAAGATAGGTTTAAATACACATAGTGCTGAACAAGATTTAAATTGGTGGGATCAAAATTATGGTATAAAAATAAATTATTTTTTATATTCTAGTTTGTTTATGCATATTTTATTTCTAGGCACACAAACAAATAATCGATGGCCAGAATTTGAAGAATATCATGATTGATTACATATTTGTGCATTTTATCTATTGATAATCAGACGACTGCTTTTGTTTTCCCCCTTTACCTTATAGATGTTTAACTGTCATTGTGCATTACTTACCTTTTTTTTTTTTTTTTTTTTTTTATCAGATTTTTTATTGTTTTCTTCTTTTTTTTTTTTCATGTGCAAAACAATCGAATTTTTTGTCATTTTTGTTTTTTTCGATAGAAATTCTTTTGTTGATGTTTTGTTTTGGTGTCAGGTTTAATATTAAAACATACGAAAATTTGGATTTAGTCCAGCAATTATTATTATTTTATTCTTCTATATCTGTAAGCATGAATAGCATCTAGGATTAATTATTATATGTAAATATAGAATAGAATCATTGCTTATAGTAATTTTATGATTTGAGCGATTGATTTGTGAACGAAAAAAAAACAATATGAGGATAGTTTGATGTGGAACAGACGTGAACGATCATTTTAGTTCAGATAGAATCTATATTAACTATATTGATAATGTTTTCAATGATGATCGTCTGAAAAAAGATAAATTATTTTCATGTAGAGCATAAAAAAAATCAAGAATTATATTGATTGTTATAAAAATTTTTTTTAGGCTTAATCAATAGATTTTGTATTTGTAATTCAGACAAAAAAAAAATGTTGCTGAACAGTCAAAGATTAATGAAGAATTTTTTCTAAATGCTTGATGAAAATGATAAGATCTATTTTGATTGATTTCTTGAAGATAGAAATATAACCAAATAATAATAAAGAAAAGATTTTGTCAAGGACTATTTCGATAGAATCATGATCATAATGTTTCGCTTCATATAATCTACATATGAAAAGTCTTTGCACACTATATATTATTAATTTTTGTTCATTTATCAGTCACTGGAGAGAATTAAAAATAATCATCTAGAATCATGAATTCATATTCTTTCTAACAATATATTATTATTTTCTTTCTAGATTAAAAATAGTTCACGGAAACAGATCTCTGATGGCAAGTAAAGTCAATGGTTGCAAAAAATATCAATTTAAAAGATATTCACAAATATATTTGCTCATTTTTCGGACATCGATATGTCGTTGAAAAAATTCAAAATTAGTCATTTGAAATTAGAATTCGATGTTCTTACTAAATGATTGTTAACAACTTTTTTATTGACTTTCAGTTAATCAGCTGTGAGCAAAATGTTTCAATGAATCAAAAATGTTGTTTTCATTAAGCACAAATAGATTTTCTTCTATTATTCATTACTACTATAAATAACGATTTTGGTTAGTTTTGATCATTTCATGTTGCATAGAATTTAATTTTTCTACTAAATTATACATTTCAGTAAGCCGAACTCTAAAAAATCAAAATCTATAGACAGTTCTTCTAACATTTACTTTTTAAGTGAGATAGCAGTTTTCAGGAGAAGAGATTTCTTTGGAATTTTTGTATTTAGAATCCAATAGAATTTAATTATTTTTAGTAAATGTGCAGAAAGAGAAATAAATTTGGTATTTTGTAGAGCAACTATCGCTCTATCACTAGATGTTTAAAAGACTTT